TTCTTTCTCACATCTCTTCTCTGCCTCCTCCCTGAAAGCTTCTTGAAATTCCCATAAGGTGATGGTAAAACAGATCACCCCAAGATCCGTCCAGCTTACAACCTCACAAAAGCAACCCCCTAACTAATAGACTGGTGTTATTATTTCTAGAACTTGCAGTGACTTCCTCAGCCTTGTTTGTCTAGGGCTGCCCTGCAGTGAGCACGGTTCAAATCGGACTTGGCATCAGGTCGTCCCTGAGGCCAGCAGGGTCTCAGTTTGTCGCCCTTGGAGACTTCGCCTCTTCTTAACTTGCTTTTTAAAAATTCACAGCCATCCTCCTAGGTCTTTTCTCCCTCCTCAGCTCCCCTGTTGCCCTGTAGCATTTTTTTTCACTACCTGGGCCTGTGTTTGCTCCTGGTGTGGACTCAGAGGCTGGACACGCTAACCGTGCTGAGCACTAATCAATTGCTCCTGCTTTTCTGTTTGCTTACCTCTGGTGTGGGAAGCCGATAAAGAAGGGAGTATGTAATTCTATGGGTGTGGACCAGGACAGCAGCCTGGACCGGTGCAGGTGGACACAGTCTACACTTCCTTCTTGATTCTGAGTCACTCATCTGCATTCTTTGGGTGAGATGTCTCACTATGACAGAGGCAGCCAGATGGTTCTCTTGAGCTCCTTTGCTTGTGCACAGCACTCTTCAGTTTTTACAGGATATCACAGCTGTTTTCAGATTTGATTTGCACAGCAGCCCCAGGGAGTACCATGAATGAAGATTTTCTTCTATCACAGGTTTACCATGTGCCGGGCACTAAACAAAGTATCCCATGTCCATTAGCTCATATCTCATTTCCCTCGATAAAGAAGTCTATGATCCAATTTTATAGATAATAAAATTGTTAATCAGAAAAATTAAATTCTGTGTCCAAGATAGCCCAGCTTATATGTGTAGCATTAGATTTCAACCTTGTGTTTCTGACCCCAGTCTTAGCTGCTTCTAACTGTGTGATATAGTATTACAAGTATTGGCCAAGTCCAATTTACTGATAAACTGAAGGTCCATAAGAGCAGGCCAAGGTCAGACAGTAAGTAAACTTGAATTTAGAACCTTTTTCCCACATGTTTTGAGACTGTATCCAATTTTATGTATTCCACTACTTTTTCAGGGTCTAGGGAGGGAGGGCTGGTCAGACTGGTGCTTGCAACATTACCTAAGCTGCTACCATGTCTTAGATGATGCCTCCTGAGTTTTTTAGAAGCCCAGCCTAGAATGTCTGTTTCAGTAGTCAGTGGCATGGTGAGCCCCAGAATACTGGGATTCTGCTTTCACCAAGTTCTTGCAATAAAACTCAAATCTGTAATGGGAACCAGGTGGTCAGTGACTCAGCTAGAGGTGATGGAAGCTGAGTTCAGGGCAGGCTGGGGAGTGAGGACAAGGGACCTGTGCCCTAATGGGAAAGCCATAGCCACTAGCTTGGGCTCATATCAAACGGCAAGGCCAAGGACTAAAGAATCAGTGGGTCAATAAACTAAAGGGAAGCTCAAGCTCTACCTCCCAAACCAGGGGGTCCCTCTGCCACATCCTTCTGGAAGTTTCCTATGTTGAGAAATCTGTACCTGAAATTGCATAGGTAACTTGATAAGGAAGACGTGAGACTGGACAGGGGCTAATTAGGCTTTTGCTCCTGTCCCTTCTCCACTCCAAGAACAGTTTTAAAGTCGTGCTGGAGCTAGTTTGAATCTCAGTTGCACTATCTTGAGTAAATGACCTTTTGTCTCTGTGCCTTAGTTTCTAACTTAACGTAGGATGATCACAGGTGTAAAGGTGAATGAAAGAGCACATATCAAGCATTTGGTCCAGATTGAGAAGCATTTGGGGATCCAAGGCAAGTTGTGCAGAATAGGTATATAGGGCCAGAAAGTCATCATTCATTCATTCATTCCTTTATTCATTCAACACAGAATCTATACTTGCTGAATTCTGTTGACAGTAACAATAGCTAACAACCTGCGATACCATGTACCCCTACACTATATTAAGTACCCCACAAGCATCTTATTTAGCCTTCATGCCCCAACGAGGTGACATTATGACTCTTGTCGTTGTTTAACCCATGAGAAAGCCAAAGATCTAGAAAGATAAAGTGACCTAGTCAAGGTCACACAGTGTCTAAGCAGTAGAACTTGGATAAAATCATGTCAGTCTGATGCCAACACTTAGCCATTTACTGCTGGAAGGCTCTCGAGGAAAAGGATACAAGGAGGGAAGGAAGGGGCATTAGTAATTGCAGGTGGATGGGTTGGTTAGGCCTCATCTTTCCTAGGTCAGTATTGGTCCTGGGATCTGACCACAGAGTCCAACAACCATAATTGGGATATACTGAGTTGGATGAGGAATGAAGGCCCAGAAACCATGCAAGGCCTTAGCCTCTTACTGAATGAAACACCCAAATGTGAGAAGACAGAGGGTGGGGTCAGGCAAAGAGATTCCCCCAGGGGCATCAATGGGGCAGAATGAAAAGCTTCTCTGAAGAGAAGATGCGCCCATTGCACATCTGGAAGATGAATTTGAAAATAATACTTTCCTTTTCCCTTTTCGTGTGCCCTCACCATCTTTCCTCCTTCTCCCCTTCCCTCTCTTTAGTCAATGAGAATATCTGTTCAGTAACCAAGGGCTGTGCAATGGAGAGCTGGGGTCCAGTCACAGCTCCACCACTTCCTGGCCCTTTTAATCCAACTGGACCTGGAATTAAATCCTGACTGTGTGACTTCAAGCTAGTTTCTTACTTCTCTGAATCACCTTTTCCTCATCTATACAGCAGAAACTAATTTCTATCACATAGTCTTGTCTTGAAGATTAAATAAAATAACATTCAGTAAAGGTGTGAAGGAGAGGGTCAGCCCTTGTGTTTATCAAGGATTAGTGTTGCCCCCGTCATTTTCTCTCTTCACTCTCCCTCTCTATCACCTCTCTCCTCTTCACTCGTCCTCATGCCCTCCCTCTCCTTTTCTTATTTCTGAAACACAAAAAAATCCCAGACAAATCATATCATGTCACACAGAATTTTGTGACACAGAGCAATCACCATCATATGTTCTATAGAGGAAAAAAGATTCATTGTTGCTTTTTAAGGTGATATATACAGAATTACCTCTGGTATACACATGCGGTTACACGTATATTTAATAGATTCTACACACACAAATACACATATAAATACATGTACTTATAGCTTTGTTTCATTTGTGCATTTGTTTTTATGTTATGACATCCAGAGAAACTTTCTTGGGGAAACCAAAGTAGCTCACTGCTGAACTCAAGGCAGGGCTTCGGCCCCTGTTCCAGAGCTATCAGCCACACCTGCATACCTGGTCACCAACTCTTAGTCCTCTTATCCACCCAGTCCCCCCACCTCTGTGGAGGTGCTGAATTTCAGCATAGTGAGCTGAGGGTCTTGCAAATAGAACATGCCAGTTTTCTAATATCAAATATAGTCAGCAGGATGGCTGAGTCATTTCAGCAAACAGTGTTCTTCTTGGCCTAAACAGGTGTGTTTAACAGCAGCCACCTTTGCCCCCAAGATAACGTATTCACAGCTAACATCTGTCATCTTTGTTAAATGTTGTACAGATAGTTGTCAGAATTTGTCCTTGCCTTCAGTGAGATCATAGCCAAGGAGAAGCCATCAACCACACAGGTGGAATTGAAAGAATATAGGCTCTAGAGTTAAAAAGCAAAAACAAACAAAATAAACACACAAAAAGTAAGGCTCGCATATTACTCGGCCACTTACTGTCTCAGTTTCTGGGTCTGTTGATTTTTTGAAGCCTCTCTCTTACCCTGTATACAACAAGGGTGATTCCTCCTGAATCCAGGGGTTACACAGCAGGCATTCAACAAAGTGTCTTCCAATCTCCCAAACATGAAGCAGAGTATAAAGTGAAGAAAAGCAAGAGAAGTGATGAGGGCCTACCCATCAGAAGAGAGGTTTCTGGCACAGAACAATTGAGGGGAGGTCTGGAGAATGCAAACCTTCCACTTCAAGCTCACGACAGGTTGTTATGGGGATTACAGATGTGTTTTGAAAATACCTCTGCCCTGAAGGATCTTACAGACCAGGGTATTTCATGAATCATATGAGTCATGTAAGAGATGTGCATTAACACATTAACTTATTTGAAATTAATGTATGATAATGCAGACGCAAACATTTAGGAGTTGGGTGTATCAAAGAAAAAAATGTGTATATATATATGTGTGTGTGTGTATATATATATATATGTATTTTTTTTTTCAGTTGATCTTGAAATTCTGATTAAAGGAGTCCTAGAAAGGTGCATTTTCATTCACTCATTTACCAAATATTTGTTAAGGACCTACTTTGTGCCAGTTCCCTTATTGAAATTCAGAAATTTAAAGACTAGTGTTTCTGAAAAATGAAGAAAATACAGGTTATGCAGAAATTATGTTTGATTTAATAATGCTATCTTATATTTGCAGCAAGGCGTAACAAAGTCTACTACTGTCTCTTGAGCCTTCAGTTAACTCATTCTACAGATGAGGAAGCAAGGCTGGGGAGCGTAGGCAATTGTCCTTGGGTTGTTCAACTGGTGGGAGGTGAAGTCTGGATTCAGACATTCACCTGTGTGAAGCCTCAGCGCTGACCCTTCCTGACACTGAGCCATCTGTATTGCCCTGACATGACCATTATCCATTTGATTTGCTTCCTATGGCAAGCTTGTGAAGAAGGAAGAGCAGGGATTCGTACTCATCCTTTATACCTATGGAAAGCAAGGCTCAGAGAAGTCAAGAAGTTGGCCCAGGGTCACACAGTTTGTTGGTGAAAAAGTCAGGTTTGAAACAGTGTCTCTCTAGCTTAAGAACTATAGCTGATGGTTCCTGAGGCTCTATGAGCCAAACCCAGGGATCCTGGCAGAGTGTAGTGGACAGGAAAATCCCCTGTGGCCCTCCAATCCAAAGAACAGTGGCCCATTTGTGTGTCCTTCCTTCCTGCTCCAGGGTGGCCTCATCGCACTACTGCTGCTGCTGCTGGTGTTCACCGTGGCGCTCTACGCCCAGCGACGTTGGCAGAAGCGTCGCCGCATCCCCCAGAAGAGCGCAAGCACAGAAGCCACTCATGAGATCCACTACATCCCATCTGTGCTGCTGGGTCCCCAGGCGCGGGAGAGCTTCCGTTCCTCCCGGCTGCAAACCCACAATTCCGTCATCGGCGTGCCCATCCGGGAGACTCCCATCCTGGATGACTATGACTGTGAGGAGGACGAGGAGCCACCTAGGCGGGCCAACCATGTCTCCCGCGAGGACGAATTTGGCAGCCAGGTGACCCACACTCTGGACAGTCTGGGACGTCCAGGGGAAGAGAAGGTGGACTTTGAGAAGAAAGGTGAGTCCTCCATGTCACAGCCCATTTTCCAGGGGGCATTTTGAAAAGATGGGAAGAGGTGCGGAAGCTGGGCGGTTGGGGACTACAGGCAGTATTTTCTGGGATAAGCCACTTTGGATTTATGACTTTGGATTTCTGTTGGGTTATCAAGTTTGTCTTCTCTGATTCTTCTGTAGTGATGGGAGAATAGGAGAGTGTCAGTACTCCCAGAATTGGAGTTGTGAGGAGACTCAGAGGGTATGCAGTCCAACATCTTTCCAGTGTCTCTTGATTACCTCCTTTGACAGCTTTCTCACTACTCGGGAAATAGGCCATCTCATTTCCACACCATTACTATTAGAGGGTTTCTTCTTATACCAACTTGAAATCTGTATCCATGGTCCTCCATGTCCAAAAGGAAAGTGATCTGATATTCTTTTTCAAGGCAGCTGTTGGGAAATTTGACACAAAAATAAAAGAGCCTGTACATTTTAACCAACCTAAACACCCCAGTTTCTTTAAATAGTCTCATATGAAGCATTTTTCAGACATTTCACCTTCCTGGTCACTGCCGTCTAGATAGAACTTTTTCACATCCTGGGCCATAACACCCAAACTGACACTCTTCTTCATCAAGGTGGGAATGATCCAGGGCTGAGAAAAATGAGATTTTTCCTCCTTCTTGCCAACTGTTATGCTTCTGTTGATGCAGCTCGAGATCCCATTTGTTTGTTACAGTTATTGCTGGTTCATATTAGACTTCTTTTATGTTTTTTTATATTGACAAATAATGCTCGTGTGTATTTATGGAATATGTAGTGATATTTTGATCCATATAACATATGGTGATCAGATCAGGATAATTAGTATATCAATCATCTTAAACATTGATCATTTCTTTGTGTTGGGAATGTTCAATATGTTCCTAGTTATTTCAAACTATGTATTACATTAACAAGCATAGTCATCTTTAAGTGGTACAGGACACTAGAAATTATTACACCTCTCTAGCTGTAATTTTATTTCCTTTAATAAATTTCTCCCTATTCCTCTCTCCCTCCTACCTTTTCCAGCTTCTAATATCCTCTGTATCCTACTAGTAACCTCTAGCATTCTTTTACTTCTATGAGATCAATAATTTTCAGCTTCCACATATGAGTAAGAACATGTGGCATTTAACTTTCTGTTCCTGTCTTATTTTGCTTAATATAATGTTCTCCAGTTCCATCCAGGTTGCCATGAATGAAAGGATTTCATTCTTATTTATGGCTGAATTGTATTTCATTGTGTATGTATACCACATTTTCTTTATCTAGTCATCTGTTGTTGGACACCTAGGTTGATTCCATATCTTGACCCTTGTGGATAATCCTGCAGTAAGCATGCAGTTGCAGATATCTCTTCAATAAGCTGATTTCCTTTAATTTGGATAAATACCAAGTCATGGGATTAGTCGATATATGGTATTTCTTTTTGTAGGTTTTATAGGAACTTTCAAACGGTTCTATGTAGTGACTGTACTAGTTTACATTCCCATGAATAGTGTATAAGAGTTTTCTTTTCTCTGCATTCTCACCAGCATTCGTTATTTTTGACTTTTTTATAGTAGCCATTCTAACTGAGATGAGATTATACCTCATTGTGTTTTTTGATTTGCATGTACCTGATATTTACTAATGAGGTGCATGTTTTCATATATTTGTTGGTCACTTGTATGTCTTTTGAGAAATTTCTGTTCAGAATCATTTGTTTGTTTGTTTGTTTATTTATTTATTTATTTATTTATTTATTTATTTTTGAGACGGAGTCTCGCTCTATCGCCCAGGCTGGAGTACAGTACAGTGGCCGGATCTCAGCTCACTGCAAGCTCCACCTCCCGGGTTTACACCATTCTCCTGCCTGAGCCTCCCGAGTAGCTGGGACTACAGGCGCCTGCCACCTCGCCCAGCTAGTTTTTTGTAGTTTTTAGTAGAGACAGGGTTTCACCGTGTTAGCCAGGATGGTCTCAATCTCCTGACCTCGTGATCCACCTGTCTCAGCCTCCCAAAGTGCTGGGATTACAGGCTTGAGCCACCGTGCCTGGCGTTGTCCATTTTTAAAGTAGATTGGAGGGTTTTTGTTTTTGTTTTTTTGCTATTGGAATGTTTGAGTCTCTTGTATATTCTGAATATTAATTCCCTATTGGATGAGTATTTTATGAATATTTTCTCCCATTCTGTAGGTTGTCTTTTCACTCTGTTTCCTTTGCTGTGCAGAAACTTTTTAGTTTGATATACAATTTTGTCTACTTTTGCTTTTGTGCCTGTGCTTTTAAGGTCTTATTTACAAAATCTTTTTTCAGAACAATGTCTTGAAGTGTTTCCCCTACATTTTCTTCTAGTATGTTTATCATTTCAGGTCTTACATTTAGGTCTTTGATTCATTGTAAATTAATTTTTTATTGGATGAAAGTAGGGGTCTAGTTTCATTCTTTCGCATATGCACATTCAGTTTTCTCAGCAGTATTTACTGGAGAGACTGCTGTTTCCCTACTAAGTGTTCTTGGCACCTTTGCAAAAAGTCAGTAGACTGTAAATAAATTTCTGGGTTCTCTATTTGGTTTCATTCATCTATGTGTCTGTTTTTATGCCAGTACCATACTGCTTTAGTTACTACAGCTTTGTAGTATATTTTGAGGTCTGGAAGTGCGATGCTTCCAATTTTTTTTTCTCAAGATTGCTTTGGCTATTTGGGGTATTCTGTGGTTCCATAAAATTTTTTCTTTTTTCTGTGAAGAATATCATTGGTATTTTGATAGGAATTGCATTGAACCTGGAGATTTCTTTGGGTTGTATTTTCATTTTAACAATATTAATTCTTCTGACACATGAGCATGGGAGGGCTTTTCATTTTTTTGCATCCTCTTCAATTTATTTCATCAGTGTTTCATGCTTTTTCTTGTAGAGATGTTTTACCTCTCTGGTTACATTGATTTCTACGTATTGTATTGTTTTATAGCTCTTGTAGATGGGATTTCCTTCTTGGTTTCTTTTTCAGCTAGTTTGTTTATGTATAGAAGTGCTTCTAATTTTTATATGTTGATTTTGCATCCTACAACTTTACTGAGTTACTTTATCAGTTAGTTATTAGTCTGTTCTCACACTGCTGTAAAGAACTGAGACTGGGTAATGTATAAAGACAAGAGGTTTAATTGACTTACAATTCCACAGCTATACAGGAGGCATGGTTGGGGAGGCCTCAGGAAACTTACAATCATGGCAAAAGAGTGACAGGGAAGCAAGAACCTTCTTCACATGGCAGAGCAGGAGAGAGAGCAATGGGAGAAGTGCTAAACACTTTTAAACAAACAGATCTCATGAGAACTCACTCACTATCCCAATAACAACAAAGGAGAAATCTACCCCCAAGACCCAATCACCTCCCACCACCAGTTTCCTCCCCCAACATTGGGGATTATAATTCAAGATGAGGTTTGGGTGAAGACACAGAGCCAAACCATATCACATTTCTAAGACGTTTTGGTAGACTCTTTAGGTTTTTCTGGGAATAAGATAAGAGAATTTGACTTTCTCCTTTCCAATTTGGATGTTTGTCATTTCTTTCTGTTGCCTAACTGCTCTGGCTAGGAATTCTAGTATTGTGTTTTACAGGAATGATTAGAGTGGACATGTTTGTCTTGTTTGGTAAGATGTTAGCTGTGGATTTGTCATATATGACCTTTATTGTGTTAAGGTACTTTCCTTCTGTAACTAATTTATTAAGAGTTTTTATCACAAGGAGATATTTAACATTTCAAAAGCTTATTGTTGTTTTTTTGCTTTGAGATGATCATATGGTTTTGTCCATCATTCTATTGATTGTCCTTCATTTTATTGACGTGAAATATGTTTATTGATTTGCATATGTTAAACTATCCTTGTATGCCTGGGATAAATACCACTTGATCATGGTATATTATCTTTTTGACATGTTGGATTCAGTTTGCTAGTACTTTATTGAGGATTTTTGCATACACTTTCATCAGGGATATTGGCCTGTAGTTTTCTTTTTGTGTGTGTGTCCTTGTTTGATTTTGGTATCAGGGTGATGCATGTCTTGTAGAGTGAATTAGAAAGAATTCCCTCTGCTTCAACGTTTTGAAATAGTTGCGGGAGAATTGTTATTAATTCTTCTTTATACATTCAGTAGAATTCAGTGGTGAAGCCATCTGGTCCTGTACTTTTCTTTGTTGGAAGGCTTTTTATTATTGACTCAGTCTCATTACTTGTTTTGCTCTGTTAAGGTTTTCCATTTCTTCGTGGTTCAATTTTGTTGAGTTCTGTGTGTCCAGAAATTTATCCATTTTTTCTGTTCTCAAATTTATTGGCCTATAGCTGTTCATAATAGCCTTTGACTTTGTATTTACTTGTATCATTTTGTATTTCTGTGATATCCATTGTGATGTCTCCCTTTTCATTTCTGATTTTATTTACGTGAATGTTCTCTCTTTTTATCTTAGTTTGTCTAGCTATTAGTTTGTCAATTTTATCTTTTTAGAAACAACTTTGTGTTTTATTGATCTTTTGTTCCTGTTAGTCTTTTTGCTTATTTTTGCTCTGATCTATTTCTTTCCTTCTACTAATTTGGGGTTTGGTTTCTTCTTGCTTTCCTATATCCTTGAGGTACATTAGTAGGTTACTGATTTGAAATCTTTCTAGTTTTTTGATATAGGCATTTATTACTATAAATTTTCATCTTAATATTGCTCTTGCTGTGTTCCATGGATTTTGGTATGCTGTGTTTCTGTTTTCATTTGTTTCAAGGAATTTTCAAATTTTATTCTTAATTTCTTCCTTCACTCATTGGTCAATCAGGAATATCTTATTTAATCTCCTTTTATTCGTATAGTTATGAATAGTCCTGTTGTTATTGATATCTAGTTTTATTCCACTGTGAACAGATATGATATTTGATACAATTTCAGTGTTTTAAAATTTTCTGAGATTTGTTTTGTGTTCTTAACATATGGCTAATCCTGGAGA